GCCCCGCCCGCGCGGCCGGCCCGGGCACAATCCGAGCTGGATCTGGTTCCCCGCTCGGGTTACGGCGCGCTCTCGGCCGGGCGGCTTCACTTAAGCAATTAGCCAGTAAAAATACCTTGGGCCTGGGGAGTGGGAGACGTCGCAGGCGTGTCTGTTTTTACACGCTCCCCCTCCCCCCGCAATTTTGGGTCCTGGGGCCAGAGCTGAGGGGCAGATCTGATTTGGAATGGGAGGGGTGGGTGGGGAGGGGGTCTTTCTGGATTTTAATCTAAGAGTAAAACTCTGCCCAGGATCCTTGCATTTTCTCCGACCTTCCCTCCGGCTGAGCCCCTGGGGATTTTGCTTGTTTCTGTTTGAATAGCTAAGCCTTTCCCTGCAGTCTTGTCCAACCCTCCTGAGAGCCCTAAGAAATAGTTACCATTCTTAGTTCCATTTTTTAGATGAAGAAACTGAAGCACAAACAACTTCTGCCGCGTCCCTAGGTGGAGGGGTGTCATCGAACCCCGACCGTGATTGGGAGTCTGCAGAGGAGGGTCTCTCCGCCCTGCCCACTGCAGGGCCTCACCCTGCAGCCTGGGGGCTTACCTTCCTGGTCCTGTAATCAGACAGGATTTGGATCCTGGCTCTATAAGGTGACCTAGGACATGGGGTAATTTTGCTGAACCCCCTCTGTAAAGGGGGGAAGGGTAATGATACCGACATGCTAGGGGCTTATATGAAGATTATACGAGTATCTTTGGAACATTTAAGCAGGGTCATCGGTTCATGGATGGGGAAACATGGGTTCACGGATGGACTCCAGGCATTTGGTTGAGACCTCAAAAATCATTCTATAAATGTCACAGGTATGCACCTTTCTGGGGAAGGCAGGTAGGACTGTGATTTTCAACAGTTTATCAGAGGGGTTCACACCCAGAGAAAGGTTAAGAACACCCAAGCGCAGTTTACCAAGCGTGAAGCAGTACCTGGCGCAGGGTCAGCGATCAACAGGTCCAGTTGCTATTGTTGTGTTTGCGGCTGCCATCGTTATTTTATCACCATCAGTTCTCTAATGGGTCTCTCTGTCTCCTAGAGCCTAGGAAGCCCGTAGATGTGCGGGGCGACAGAAGCATTTCTAAACCCCACTCTCTCCACTCCCTGCTTGTAAAGAGGCATCTGGGAAGGTAAAGCGCTGAGATGCTCTCTTCTTGAGGGCAGAGTGGAGAGATGGAGAAAGGTTCGCTTCTCAGCACTGGCTGACCTGGCCAAGTCCTATCTGGGCCTCAGTTTCCCCAAAAATGCAGGATCAAGGGAAGCCTCTCATGGGCATCTTAAGAGCTGAAAACTTAGTCTCTGGGAATGTAGAAAAGCCCTCCTTGCTATGGCTGTGGTTTTTCCCAGAATTGAGGGGGTCCCCTCCAAATTACAGAGCCAGGAACTCATTCACCCTCCCCGCTCATGCCCCCGCCTTTACCTCCCACCTCGGCAGAGAGGACGGGTTGGAGAGAACCTCCATCTTTGGCATTCCTGAGACTCCCACATCTCCTGGGCCCCTCGCTCCCCGGACTCGGTGACTGCAGTCCTCCCCCTGCAAAGTCGGGTTTGCTGTCAGGGCCTAAGGGGTAAGTGGAAGCCAGGTAGGGCGCAACTCCACACTTCCTCCCCAGGAAGGTGGAAGCTTCCTCACTGCAAAATATACAGGCGACCCCAAGGGGAACCCGTTAAAGACAATGATGTGCAGGAGGGTAGGAAGGGAGGAAAAATTGATCTCCTGGCTAGCCAGAGATGGAATCTGCAGCACCCTGCCCCCAACTGGAGAGAGCCTAAGAGGGAAGGAAGCTACTGAAAAAGGGCCCCCGCAACTTCATGCTCTATAGACCCTTCTCATTTTGCAGGCGCTCCATGAGGGGGAAGGGGAAGAGAATGGAAGAGTTACTACCATTTTCTGGGAGGCGCGGGGTGCACGCTGCACCCCCCAGTCCCTGTCTCACCTCTCTGCTAAAGGCCAGGTGCGCTCCGGCGGTAGAGACACCTTCCAGGGAACTTCCCTCAGGGCGCCTGGGCCTCCTCGTCTGCAGCTTCCATTGGGAGTCGGGGGAGGGAGAAGATGGGGAGGAGAGAGTGAGGGAATGCGTGCTTGCATGACCGTGTGCGCACGCGTGGAGCGGCCGTGCGTGGACTGCGGGTGCATGTGCGGTTGGCTATGCGTGGGCAAACGCTGGTGCATGAGTGTGTGTACTTAACCGAAAGTGTGCCCTCATCGGAGGGCAGGCCTGTGCGTCCATAAAGGGTTGGGGGCGTCTGAGCTGTGTGAGTACTCGCTGGGAAGGAGTATGCGAGGGCGTGGACGGTACTGGGGTGTCTGTGGATGCTGAGTGGGCTGCGTGAGTGGGAGCGGGTCTGTAAGCGCGCGTCCATCTGCGTGAATACACAACCGCACACCACGCGGTCACGTCCCACACTCACTCTTTCCCCGGGAGGGCCAGGCTGTCCTCCAGAAGAGGCCAGGAGAACCCTGCGGAAGAGCAGCGTGGGGAAAGCGATTCTTTCTTGGCGAGCGCAGGTCTGCTGTTAGAGGCGGCGACAGCCGTTCAAGCTACCCCCAGCTCCTCGCACGGACGTGCCAGGCGCCCCGAAGGCGACAAGGCGTCTCCCGCCGAAGCTGAAAGTGTCCGAACGAGAAGGGTGTGGGGAGGAGTGTTGGCAGGGGACAGGGAGTCCGGAGAAACAAGAGAGGCCGTTGGGCTTTGAAAGTGCCGCGGGCCGGGCTCCAAGCTCGGCACACGCCTCTCGTCCTAGCTTGTGCCGCCGGGCACGGCCGCCGGGCTCCTCGCGCTGACCCGCGAAAACACTTTTCGGACCCCTCCTTCCGACCCCGGGCCCTGGCGGAAGAGGACGGGCCCCGCGCGCAGAAGTCTGGGCAAGAACGGCACTCACCTGGGTCTGTGCGCTGTGTGTTGCGCCGGGGCTCCTGCGCGGTCCTGCGCTCCGTGCTTGGCACCCCATGACCCCCCCACCAGTACCCGAGCCCGCATCTCGCGCTAAGAGGTGGGTGGGCGAGGAAAGGCGCGCGGGCGAGCGCCCTGCGGGCGGGTATTCAGGAGCGCGAGGGCCCCCCGCCCAAGTCCTCTGCTTTCCGGAGCCTGGCCTGGTGCGCAGTGTCAGAGGCCCCCGTGGCGGCGGCAGGCCGAGCCCACAGGGGCATTAGGCCAACTCCCCCCGCGCCCGCGGAATTCTCCATTATTATTATTATTAAAGAATCCCCCAGAACGTGTTTACGTTGAGCCGTGTAAACTTCCTGCCAGAACCTTTGCCATCTCTCGGGAAATCGGAACCTGAGCTCGGAAAATGGGACGCCCGGGCCGTGGGGCCAAATAGGCGGGTTTTCAGTGTGTATGAGTGTGGGGGGAGGGGGTGACTGGGCTACGTGTGAGTTCAGATCGGAGCGTGGCGTGTATACGCGTGAATGGGAGTGAGTGGAGATTTAACCTCCAGTGGGCCTATTATGCGTGCGTGAGCGCGCATTCGCGGGCGCCTCCATTCCTGAGCGCCCTGTGTGCGTGAGTGGCACACACGCATGGCTGTGTTTGCACGTTTGAATCTGCGTCATTTACCGGGTTTGCATGTGCATCAATGCATGCATGTGTGTGCTGTGTGCATAAGTACACTAGTGTGCGTGCGCGTGAGTGACGGGGCCCCTTATCCGGGAGCGTGCGCGGTTTGGCCCCCGCTGCGCCTGCGGTTCTCTCTCGCCCCCGTCCGGCCCGTGGGGCCGGAGACAAAGCGGCCGCGATCCGCCTTGCGCTTTCGCTTTCCGCCTGCGCTCGGCCCTGGCGGCTGCAGCCCGCTCACGCGCTGCTGGGCGAGTCCGAAAAAACCCCGGGCGCGGCGCAGTCCTTCCCGGGGCGGGGAGAGTGGGTAGGCGGTCCCTCACGGGAACTTACGCCGGCCGGCCGCGGGGACCCGGAGCCGATCCGGCTATGCCCACGATGCTCACGACCCGGCGGCCGTGGCCGCCGCCGCAGTCACGAGAGGCGTCGGGGTCGTGCGCGTCGGGGTAG